CATCTCCTATCGTCTCTTGTAATTCCCTAAGGGTTCAAGTACCTCATAATCATATACTTGCCCAAAACCTGTCCTCAAATTACTATTACCCAACTCCCAAGTACCTAATTATTGGGTACATGGACCCTTACAGATAGGTATTGTGGGCCCAGAGTACATACTACTTGGGTACTTGGACCCTCAGGGAAAGCAATGCAGGTTTGCCTGCAAAAAAGTCCAATGCAGACGTTGCAGCAGGTTTGCTGGTGTAGGGCCTAATGTAGACCCATGATTAATGAACCCCCTCCTTTTAAGGGTCTAAATTTGGGGATCCCTATTATGATCCCCTAAGGGGAGGGTGTTTATTAATCAGGGGTTGGGGTTAGGGTTTAGAGCAGCAGGTTCGTTGTGGGGGTAGGGCTTGTATCTCAGGGGAAGAGGCTTCGGGTTTGGGGCCTTCAAGGTTTTGACTCTCCACGGTGTTGGCATCAGCTTGCATCACAGACTTGTCACGGGTCAGCAGCTCCATTTAACAAGTTATCCTTCTCTTGCCCTGAATAGGGATTCCCAAAAGTGAGCTCCGCGGTCCTACGTTGCTAGATGCAATCCACCAAGCTCCCTGGGGTCCCTATCTTATCTATGGACTTTCCCATAAACAGGAGGCTACAATACAAAACCGAATACATTAAAATCCGTATTTCGCTTACTAGCAGGGGGCGCCTACAAGCAGGGGTCCCCCTAATTATGAGTTGGGTTGTCACAAAGATAAGTATACTGAGTGCTATAAAGTCTGGTATAAGACTACGTGGCACTTAGGACCGCTAATGAGGGTTAAGCCTTAGGTACCTATAATAGGAGTATAAGGGAATCCCGCAAGGGTTAATGGTCTAAGATCCAAGCTAANNGCCACCTGTACTTCTGGGAAAACCCGCAAATGGCGGACTAGTTGCTATAGGCGTGCCCTTCAGTTGCCGACGATCCCGCCAACAATGCCAACGTAGAAGCAAGGCATCCTGGCTTTGGTCATAGGTTGTTTGAAATGGTGTTTGGGGTTTAGGGGTTTAGNNNNAGGAGTTTAGGGTTTAGGAGTTTAAGGTTTATGGAATTAGGGGTTGAGGGCTAGCTCTAATTTCATGAGGCAGCGGTTCAGGATTAGGGAGTTTAGGGTTTGAGGTTCATCAGGGTTCGTGTAGGTTTGAATGAGGGTTCTGCTTCAGGTGTATGCGGATAATCCAGGCGAACTCCGGTAGAGCCGCTGCTGTCAGAGCGGCATCGACGTCTTTTCTGACCCCTAAACCCTAAACCCCCAAAGCCTAAACCCCTAAACCAATTCGTTGTTTGTGCGACGGCGTCAGCCCATCCTTAAGGGGTCTCTCTTAGGAGCACCCCCCACCCTGCAATAGTG